AAATCACAACTTACAGCGAACGACTTGTCACATACATCGCATGCGTACGGTTTTTCTCCAGTATGTGTGCGTCGATGATTCGTTAAATTGGTACTTTGGCTGAAGGATTTGTCACATACATCGCATGCGTACGGTTTTTCTCCAGTATGTGTGCGTCGATGTTTCGTTAAATCATAACTTACAGCGAACGACTTGTCACATACATCGCATGCGTACGGTTTTTCTCCAGTATGTGTGCGTCGATGTTTCGTTAAATCACAACTTACAGCGAACGACTTGTCACATACATCGCATGCGTACGGTTTTTCTCCAGTATGTGTGCGTCGATGATTCGTTAAATTGGTACTTTGGCTGAAGGATTTGTCACATACATCGCATGCGTACGGTTTTTCGCCAGTATGTGTGCGTCGATGTTTCGTTAAATTACAATTTACAGCGAACGACTTGTCACATACATCGCATGCGTACGGTTTTTCTCCAGTATGTGTGCGTCGATGATTCGTTAAATTGGTACTTTGGCTGAAGGATTTGTCACAGACATCGCAAGGGTAAGAGTTCTTCTCCATCTGTCCGATTATCTGTCGTTAGTCGCTTCTATTAGTAAATAGTTTATTTCAAATGTAATAGTTTTTCATACGATTATTTGGTTACTATGTTTTTCTGTTTGTGATCAATTAGAATGTATTAACATCATCAAAATATTTTAAAGCCAGTATTTGTTGTATTACAGTTTAAACATAAAGTAGAGATTAATATTATTATGCTTAATATAATACAAGCAGTTAATAATAAAATCATTAATTTATTTGAAATTTTAAAATAAATATTTAATTCAGGAGCAGATGTTTTTAAAACTCTTAGATCTTATTCTATAAGATATCACGATATCCTTAACAGCTGCAGTAAGCACTACCTGCCGGTAATCCTTTGGGATTTAATTGAAAGATTGATTTAAGGGGGCTGCAGCAGGTTTTGTCAAAAGTCAAAAAGAATGTAGATTTGACCAATCTAAACATTAATTTTGTTTGTTATAATGTTTTTCAATATATTTAAATTCCGTATCATAAAATAAACCTTAAGGAGGCTTGAGGGGTCTCTAGTCAATGAAAAAAAAGTGACATTTAGACCAATAAGCTAGATAAAATTGGAAGAATTTAGTTTCACAGATCTTAATTTTTAAAACGGATTATGATTCATCAACAAGTTTACTAGGGAATGATCGAGGTGATTTTGAATATTTCAATAATTGTTAGTGTCATAATGAATAATATAAATACAAAAATATAATTTTTTTTCGATATTTTTATTCTTGGATATCACAGCTGAAAAAAAAAATATTTAAAATCGCCTCGATCATTTCCTAGTAAACTTGTAAACTTAAGATTGAAATTCGCAGTTATAGCAACATTTTTTTGTTTAATAGTATATTAAGATTACATATTAGCAAACAGCAACAGGCATAATACTAAGTAGGTACCTTTTTTTTCTTTTTAAGGAGTTGGACACGTAATTTAAGATAAAAAATATAAATTATATTTTAAGCATCCATTAATAAAATAAATATTTTTATTTAGATAACCTGTAGTTATGATCAGATTGCCACCAGTCATAATATTTCACGTCTCCAAAATTAAAACTTATTTTAGGGGTACAATAATCAAATCATAAATTTATTTGTCATTCATATATTTTATAAATAAAACATTATACTTCATATGATACCATTGTTTTAAATTTGAATGGTGATTTTAATTTTGTTAAACTATTTCACATAATATTCTTTATTTTGCTTATAGCAGGCCTGCAATTATTTTATATGTAGGACGTAGGTAGGTATAAATTATTATGAATATCATGATATCCTAAAATGATTTTTATCATTCGACAAATACTATACTTAGATTGATAAGTAAAATATAGACTAACATAAACAAAAAAAAAATGATAAATTGATAGATTAAATATTATAATTATATTGATTTGTGCAAGAAAATGTTTATCTAATTGTTATCGTTGTAATTTATATAATTGTAAACCTTTCCTCTGATGTGAGAATCTTGTTAATGGCATCATAAGAACTTATACGGGCATATTATGGCAGTTAATCCTTTTGTAAAATAATCAAATCAGTTTATTATTTATTATACGTCAGCTTCGCTCTACATAACACACACAAAAATATCTATAATTATTGATTGAATGCATTACCTATTGCTTATAGATTCGATAGTCGGTGTTGTTATTATTGCAGTATTGATGTTTGAAAATGTTTAAGACTATGGTGCGTATAATTTGAATACTTAAATTTTTGCTTAAATGGGGGGACCTTTGGGGGAGGGGGCTAAGCCCCTCCAAATCAAAAGTTAAAATTGCGCCTATGCCGATGAGTAAATTGTGTTATTTAAATCAGGGACTTTAACCTTGATGATTTTTATGGTTCCAATTCCTACTCGGTTCAAAGTATAACTAAAATTTCAGTTTCGGTTCCTATTCGGTTCTCAGAAAAACCAACATTTATGTTTCGATTTTTTTTTTCAGTTATTAAAAATAAAATAAATGTTACCAGATTTGGTTTCTTACTTATGTAAAAAAATTTGTCAAGTAAAAGTGTCGGTTCCGTTATTAGGTTCAGGTTTTTAAATTAATTTAAATATGGGTTCCGGTGAGGTTCCGGTATTAAAATTAATTTAAATAAGGGTTTGGGTGAAGTTTCTGTTCAAAATATTCAAAGGGTTCCAAAACCTGTTCTTTTCGGTGAGGTTCCAGTCCCTGATTTAAATCGGTGCAACACGATTGCGCACTTTTTACCTTTTTACCTGAAAAAAACACAACACGATTGCGCACTTTTTACCTTTTTATATTTGAGAAAACATAACACGATTGCGCACTTTTTACCTTTAATATTTGAGCAAATGCAACAAAGATTGTGCAAAACAAATATTTTGTTTTTTTGGAATAAATTAACAATAATTGTCCTATAATATCTTTAATGATTTACTTACTATATTAAAACTTAGTATAATATAATATACAAATAATACGCAATAAAAATTCAAAAAATTTCCCAACATTAACAATAACGTAAAGTCAAAAATAAAACATAAAATAATACATAAAGTCAAAAATAAATAATTATAATATTATAATACATCACAATTATTACGCGTTAAAAAAAAGGAATAATCTTCGGTATTCGTCTACAAAAATAAAGAAATAAGATTTAATCATTATGATATTAATTAGCCTACCAACAATATTTTCTGGAATCTCGTCATGTTTATGTTCATTTAACATACTCAACACTTTGGTTACATCCTTGTCAACTAATACACTGGCAGAACAATTTTTGTTTGTACAGCGATACCGAATATTTCCACACTTTTTCAGTACTTTAAATTCACTAAATTTATACCCATCAACTAAAATGCATGGCTTACCTTTTTCGGTTTCAAATTTTTTTTTTATTTGTATTTCCATTTTCCCCCAAAAAAAATTGCACAGCAAAAAAACGGAAATATACACGTTGCGTGGTATGAGACTGCCACAATATAATATCACGTTTCGTCCGTTTCGATATGTGAGTATGTGACTGGCGAATGTAAAATAAATATTATCTAACTTTACTATCGGATATTATCGGATATTATCGGATGTGAACACGTTAGAAAAGTAATATGTTTGAAAACACAGTCACTAACACTTATTAGTTATTGGTAATAAAATATTATTTACAGATCCGTAGCTGCCATAATATAGTATCCGTAATTAATGTATATAGGTACTGTTCGAGCGCCGTAGTCGACGTCCATCCAAGGCTTCTATGAACCGGTCGTGCCGTTCCCTCCGTCCGTCTAGTATGCTATCGCCGATAACGCACGTCTGCCGTAGACCCCGTAACTGCTTGAGCTAGTTAGTTGGACGCACGACCTTTGCCGGATTACGGCCCGTCGTTGCTCCTTTCGTCATTGTCGTCATCGTCTTGTGTTCCGTTTGCTTCGGTATCGGCTTTTATGCGACGGCCCTGTCCCTTGTGTACGACTCTTGTAAACGTTGTAAACGTTGTTCTCTGGATTCGTGGTAGGCCGTATTTCCGCTGTTTCGATTGACGCGGTGCGCCTCGTCACGGTACGTGTGTTGGTAGTCGTAGTGTGGACGAGTAAAACCCGCGTGTCGGTGTATTCGTGACCTGTGGATCACTGTTCGTCGGTCGTCGTATCGTTGGTAGACCTATTGTCGCCGTCAACTGCTCCAAAGTACACCATAAAGCCGAATTGTCAACGTCGTTTCTTCACCGAGCCCAGCTGGTCGTCGGAGTCGCGTAATCATTATCATTGTATTATCATTATTATTATTATTATTGTCGTCAGGCATCGGGTGTATTGATAACACCGTTATTACCTTTATTGAGTCTATTGTCATTAATTTCTGTTGTGTATTCTTATTTCCTATGGCTGGTTAAGGAGACGTCTTTACCAGTTAATACAAATATGTTTTATAATATCTGTATTTAATAGAAAATAAATAATTCCGGTATGTGCTTTGCCATACTTCTCCAAAATGTGCGTATAATTAGTGTGGTCGCATAACAATAGGTTGTATTTACAAGTGTCCAATACGTTGGTGTAGTCAGTGGGGCCGACCACCAATATTGTAGGAGCCTCTTGACTGAACATTTGGTAGCAGGGCGTGGTTTATTTTATAGTATAGTCACATCAGCGAAAGACACTAGTGAATGGAGTTGGGTGCCTTTGTTTAATGTGAGTAGGTACATGTTTATGATTTTGGGTTGTTAGTTACATACTTTTCTTGGTAGGTGTTCTGTGTTGTAGTAGGTACCAATTGGGATTGCTTCCCCTTTCAGCTCACATATTTACTGTGTTTAAGTACTACTGTATATGCACATTGTATACCACCTTATTGCTCACTGGTGTTATATTATTATAGTAAAGTGAGTGTTTTTTATATTTAAATATTGTTTAGTTTATATATACTGAATTAATATGGTAGAGACAAGCCAAGAAAAGGCTGCTCGTGAGCAAAGACTAGCAGTTAGGGCTAAAACTATCTCATTGCTTAACCGTGAAGGTACTATTAACCGAATTAAGGCATTAGCTGAGACGGCGGCTCGTGTCCATGATAATTTAGATCTGTTACCTAATTTTTTAATTGCTGCTGGTGATCTGGATTCTTTATGGACATCCTTTGTGTCACATAATCAAGCTGTTTTGGATGCATTATTGGATTTAGACCTTACATCTGAGTTTTCTACACAATTAGAAACCGAGATCCGTTCTCTATACATTAGTGTTGTAACTGTAGTTGAACAACACACACCTAAAAGTGAAACTGTGTCACTGGACGGTAGTGCCAATGGGTCCAGACATAATGTGCCTGGTAGCACCTCAGTATCCCGTCTACCAGAAATACCGTTACCCTCTTTCAGTGGTGATTTGATCGAATGGCCTGTTTTTCGCGATAGGTTTCTTGCTAGAGTGGGTCACATTCCTAACCTGCCAAATATTGACCGGTTTTATTATCTCCTTGGCTGTCTTAAGGGCGATGCTCTTTATACTATTAAAAATATTGCGGTTACGGAAAATACTTATAACCTAGCTTGGTCCACATTATTTGAACGGTATGATAAACCTAGACAATTAGCGTCACTTATTGTGGACAAACTTATTGCAGTCCAGTCTCAGTCTCAGGAGTCATTGGATGGACTGAAGCAATTTCTGATCCTGTTCTCCGATCAAGTCGCCATGTTAAAATCGTTGAATATTCCTGATTTGGGGGAGTTCATCCTGTTCGCCTTGTCTGTTCGTGGCCTATCGCTGTCAACGCGCAAAGGTTTTGAGGCTGCTAATTCTTGTGAATTTCCACTGGTTTCGGATTTGGTCACCTATGTCAAGTCACGTGTTGCAGTCTTAGAAACTGTCACACAATCGAGTAACGCGCGAAGTTACAACCAACCTCTGGATAAAACCAAACCAACTCATCGACTTGAAAATAAAAAGTCTAAAGTTGCCTTGTTGTCTTCACAAGCCCCGGTCGCATCTACTTCCAAATGTCTTTTCTGCTCTGGCGACCATTCTACAGTTAAGTGTGTAACCTTTTCTGACATGTCTCTGGATGATAGATATCAAGCGGCGAAGGACCGTAAAATTTGTTTCCGATGTTTGAATTCTACTCATTGGTCGAATCGATGTTTAGCGAAGACATGTCCTAAGTGTAAGGGTCATCATCATGTTCTTCTTCATCGCGATTTTGAAGCGTCACGAAAGCCGTCATCGTCCACTGATTCTCCAGCCGTCCACATTGGTTCACTAGATCGGCCAACTGTTTTACTTGGGACCGCTCTCATACATGTTCGTGATTACTGCGGTCGTGCTCAACCAGTCCGCGCATTGATCGATTCGGCCTCACAGGTCAGTGTCATGACCTTGGCGTGCGCGGATCGCCTGGGATTAAAACGGTCCAAATGGACAGCACCTATAACGGGTCTTTCCGGTGTTCAAGTCCCTAAATTGAACGGTGTGGTAAAATGTACCATCGCACCACGGTACGATAATAATACGAAAATCCAGGTGACAGCTTGGGTCCTGCCCACGATAACTTCTCACATGCCGTCTCGTCATCTGCCCGAGCACTGTAAACACCGATTTTCGCATTTGGCTCTAGCTGATCCTAGTTTTGATCTTCCAGCACCTGTTGAATTGTTGTTGGGAGCAGATGTGTTCTCCCAAATATTAGACGGAAAACGCGTGGTCATAGACCATTCGTTGCCCACTGCATTCGGCTCTTTATTCGGGTGGATTCTGATTGGCCCTGTCCCTGATCACGAGCCCGATCGAATCTGTTCAAATGTTGTTTCACTCACGGTATCACTCGAGAATCTAGTTGAACGTTTCTGGCGTGTCGAAGAACCTGACCCTGCTCCAGTTATGTTTACTGATGAAGGCAAGTGTGAAACTATCTACTTAACCGAACGTGTGCGTGATGATAGAGGTCGATTCGTGGTCCCATTGCCCTTCATGGAATCCGGCAAGCAAGAACGTTTTTTAGGATCTCGACAAATGGCTTTGCGTCGATTCCAAAACCTAGAGCGGAAACTTCAAGCTAATCCAGCTTTGAATCAAGCCTACTCAGCTTTTATGAGTGACTATGAATCACTAGGGCATATGTCTCTCGCTCCTAGTCCTGGTGACTACTTCATACCTCACCATCCTGTTTTTAAAGGTGATGTTGCAACCAGTAAAATTCGAGTGGTATTTGACGCTTCGGCCACTACTTCATCTAATCGTTCCTTGAATCAGTGTCTTTTTACTGGTCCAAAGCTTCAGCAGGATATTGTTGATATCATGCTCCGATTTCGTGTACACCAATTCACCTTCACAGCAGATGTGTGTAAAATGTATCGACAAATACTGGTACTTCCACAATATCGGAAGTACCAACACATCTTCTGGCGTGCGTCACCGTTGGACGAACTTAAGGAGTACCAACTGAACACGGTCACTTACGGAGTGAACTGTGCTCCTTACCTAGCGTTGCGAGTTCTGAAGGACCTTGCCGACAATTGTTGTGCAGAGTTTCCAGGTGTCAAACAGGCACTAACTCACCAAACTTACGTTGACGATATTTGCGTTGGCGCCGATAGCACAAGCCAACTGTTGACATTGAAATCTGATTTGAAATCTGTTCTGAGTACCGCTGGTTTTGAGCTGAAAAAATGGTCCAGTAATGATCCACAGATTCTGGCTACTATTCCACAAGAGGATCGTGTCCAAAGGATCTTACAGTTCGATGACCCTGAGGCGGGATTGGTCAAGGTTCTCGGTTTGAATTGGGACTCTTCCGAAGATACTTTTGGTTTTGAAGTCTCTTCTTCGTGTGATGTCATGACCAAACGCGCCGTTCTGTCAACCATTGCCAGAATATTCGATCCAATTGGCCTTATCGCTCCAGTTATCTTCTATGCCAAGCATATATTGCAGAAAATCTGGAAGGCAGGATTAGCTTGGGATGCGCCACTTCCGTCCGACTTGACTGAGGATTGGAAAATCTTTGTCCAAGATCTCCATACATTGACTAAAGTCAAGATTCCGCGTTTTCTGGCTACAAAAAATGGTTCCCATGTCCAGCTTTGCGGTTTTTGTGATGCTTCAGAGCAAGGCTACGCAGCAATTGTTTATCTTCGCTTGATTCAGCCAGATGGATCCGTCTCCATTTCCCTTCTAGGATCCAAGACGAAAATGGCGCCCATGAAGAAGATCACTATACCTCGACTTGAATTGTCTGCTTCTGTTCTATTGGCGCGATGGATGGCTCGCGTCAAAGCGACACTTGACCATCAACTCGTTATCACTAATGTTTTTGCCTGGTCTGACTCACAAATAGTTTTGTCTTGGTTGATCAATCCACACTCTTTGTTCAAAATATTTGTCTCTAATCGAGTGCACCAGGTGCATCAACTTTTACCATCGTGTAAATGGGGATATGTACGTACTGATGATAACCCGGCTGATTGTGCCTCGCGTGGAATGCAGCCCTCAGCCCTTATGCAACTCCCCCTGTATTGGCATGGGCCTAAATTTTTACGTAATTCTGAGGATACCTGGGACCTTTCGCCTTGTATAATGTCCTTAGAAGAGCTGCCTGAAACAAAGGGCGTTTCCTTAGCTGTGCATCTCAACACTGATGGCGAATGGTTCTCACGTTTTTCTTCATATACCAACATGCTTAGAGTCGTCACATGGATGCGTCGTTTTATTGGATCATGTCAAGGTAAGACGTACTCCAATGCCTTTCTATGTCAATCGGAATTAACTGATTCCCTAACAGTTCTTGTCAAAGCGTCTCAATTACAGACACTGGGGAAATTGCTACACAATTTGCAGCATGATCAAGCGCCACCTCGAACGTTTGCTGTGCTCCGCCCATTCATTGATCCTTGTGGCTTGATCCGTGTCGGTGGTCGTTTGGCACATGCTGATTTAACAGAAGCTCAAAAGCAGCCAATATTACTGTCAAAGACATCTTATCTTTCGTTACTTATTGTCCGGCATTGGCACCTTGTGACGTGCCATTCGGGACCTAGAGTTATAACAGCTTTAATCGCTCGTCAATTTTGGATTGCGTCTGTGCGGTGTGTGATCAGGAAAGTCATTGGTTCATGTACCATATGCGTCAGAGCAATTGCTCAAACTCAAACTCCCCTCATGGCTGATTTGCCCGCGGTACGTGTTCAAGCTTGCCGACCGTTCTCCCGTGTTGGGATTGACTACGCTGGTCCCTTGCCAATGCGCGAATGCCGCTTGCGGAAGGCAAGACAATATAAAGTGTATGTCGCTGTATTTGTATGCATGGCCGTGAAGGCGGTGCATTTAGAAATAGTATTGGACTTGACTACCGATGCGTTCTTGGCCGCACTCGATCGTTTCGTTGCGCGACGTGGTCTTCCGCACGAAATATTCTCAGACTGCGGGACCAATTTTGTTGGAGCGTCAAAACAATTGCGTCAATTAGTGAACAATCCGGAAAATCATCACAGACTTTCTTCCCACTCTTCGTGTACATGGATTTTCAACCCACCAAGTGCTCCGCACTTCGGTGGATTGTGGGAAGCTGCAGTACGCTCGTTTAAGACTTTGCTAACCCGTGTCATGGGTAGTCATAATCCGTCACTCGAGGAACTGTCTACCATTTTATGCCGTATCGAAGCGATCTTAAATTCGAGGCCACTCACTCCGATGTCATCGTCGCCTCTTGATCTCGACTACTTGTCTCCGGGGCACTTTTTAATTGGACAACCTCTGCTCGCTGTTCCTGAACGTCATATACCCGAGGACAGCCGGAAAATTGTCAATCGTTGGAAGTTACTTCATCAGTTTCATCAGTCGTTTTGGCGTCGGTGGACCAGTGAATACCTGTGTTCATTACAGGCACGAACCAAATGGACAAACAATGTTCCTAACCTCAAAGATGGAGACATGGTTGTAATTAAAGACAACCAGAGCCCTCCTACGGCGTGGCGTTTAGGTCGGGTCTTGAGTGTCATGCCTGGAGCTGATGGCGTTGTGCGTGTAGCTAGAGTGTTGACGGCCCAGGGTGAGCTTACCAGACCAGTTGTAAAATTGGTGCTGCTGCCCACAGAATAGTTGCTCCTTTGAGTTCGGGTAAGTTAGTCTCCCATATTGTTTTAGTGTGCTTGCTATGTTCAGGGCAATTGCGTTATTTTATTTATTGGTGTCTGTCTGCTGCTCACCAGCCATTCTTTATTGTCAGGTGACCACATCAATTATACTCAGGGCACACCCTGGCAAACCAAGTTAATTGTTAAATTTTTGAATTTTATTTATGTTACTACTTATTATGTTTTGTTAAAGATGTCATCACTTATATTATTTATAATCTCAAACTTATGAGCTATTGTATTATTTTTTTTATTGTTTTGTTCCGTACCAATGTCAGGCTCCACGACCATTGCTGGTCCTCAATCTTCAATGTTCCAGCGTCCACCATGTCTCATGAAAACCAGGGCTTTTCATTGGGGGAGGATGTTCGAGCGCCGTAGTCGACGTCCATCCAAGGCTTCTATGAACCGGTCGTGCCGTTCCCTCCGTCCGTCTAGTATGCTATCGCCGATAACGCACGTCTGCCGTAGACCCCGTAACTGCTTGAGCTAGTTAGTTGGACGCACGACCTTTGCCGGATTACGGCCCGTCGTTGCTCCTTTCGTCATTGTCGTCATCGTCTTGTGTTCCGTTTGCTTCGGTATCGGCTTTTATGCGACGGCCCTGTCCCTTGTGTACGACTCTTGTAAACGTTGTAAACGTTGTTCTCTGGATTCGTGGTAGGCCGTATTTCCGCTGTTTCGATTGACGCGGTGCGCCTCGTCACGGTACGTGTGTTGGTAGTCGTAGTGTGGACGAGTAAAACCCGCGTGTCGGTGTATTCGTGACCTGTGGATCACTGTTCGTCGGTCGTCGTATCGTTGGTAGACCTATTGTCGCCGTCAACTGCTCCAAAGTACACCATAAAGCCGAATTGTCAACGTCGTTTCTTCACCGAGCCCAGCTGGTCGTCGGAGTCGCGTAATCATTATCATTGTATTATCATTATTATTATTATTATTGTCGTCAGGCATCGGGTGTATTGATAACACCGTTATTACCTTTATTGAGTCTATTGTCATTAATTTCTGTTGTGTATTCTTATTTCCTATGGCTGGTTAAGGAGACGTCTTTACCAGTTAATACAAATATGTTTTATAATATCTGTATTTAATAGAAAATAAATAATTCCGGTATGTGCTTTGCCATACTTCTCCAAAATGTGCGTATAATTAGTGTGGTCGCATAACAATAGGTTGTATTTACAAGTGTCCAATACGTTGGTGTAGTCAGTGGGGCCGACCACCAATATTGTAGGAGCCTCTTGACTGAACAGGTACAAAGTACTATTGGCGGGTAGTGTGTTTCTTAAAGCTTAAACTATAATAAATAAGCCAGCAATATAAAATAAAGTAATATGTTTTCTCAAATATAAAATGGTAAAAAGTGCGCAATCGTGTTATGTTTTCTCAAATATAAAAAGGTAAAAAGTTCGCAATCGTGTTATGTTTTCTCAAATATAAAATGGTAAAAAGTGCTCAATCGTGTTATGTTTTCTCAAATATAAAAAGGTAAAAAGTTCGCAATCGTGTTATGTTTTCTCAAATATAAAAAGGTAAAAAGTGCGCAATCGTGTTACGCCCGATTTAAATATCAAGTATTTCTGTTTGAACATTTAGAATTAAATTTGATATGAATACCACGTTACAATAGGTAATAGATACTAGATATTTCGAACGGATCTGAATATAGATAATAAACATAGTACAACGTGGTTATGAGTATCTATTGTTATGATATTATAGTTAGGTATCCAGTCATCCAGAGAAGGTTTTCTATTTCTTATGGATAAGTTTTTCGTAGCTGGGGGGTTAGAGCATCCGTGTATGCGGTTTTGTATCAATAATAATTCACGTTTGGTTTATAAATGTATAGTAATTATTATATACAAAATAGTACTTTACTATTTCAAGAGATGGCTGTTAATTATAGTGTATTGGTGAGTTCACCAGCGATGATGTTTATTGTATCACGTAATGCGGTAAATGGGCAATTTTATTTATCACGAAAGTAGACGTTTTCGGTAATAAAAATCCTCGGTAAGCTGAAATCCGTATAAGAGTGAGTTCTGCTATATGAGCACTTGAATTTGACACTCAATTTTGGGTGATCTTTGCCGGCAAAATAGATTTACTGTGCAGCGATCGAGTAAAACGACGACAGATATGAATCGTATGACGTATACGAATGCACTTGTTGATGTACGCATCGTGCCGCAGCAGCCGATAATTAATATAATATTACCATAATAATAATTATATCATTATCTTCGTCGTCGGTGGATGGACATTTTTACACAAATATAATATTGAATGATACAAATAATTATATTATATTTCACACGTTTATACTTTGTACCATCACTACTTTAACTCACTACTTTACTAATGAAAAAGTAATGTAATTTAAATAAAAATATTTAAATTAACAAGTAACGTAATTTCATTACTTTTTAAAAGTAATTCACAAAACACTGAAAACCCTAATATAATAACATAAATTGTGTAGAACACAACTTGAAGTACAATCAATTTAATAACAGAAGTATAATAAATTTAATTATTCTTACCCGTGGCGTACGCAGGATTTTTTTAATGAGGGGGGAGGGGCTTGAAAATTAGTTACAATTTTATTTTTATTTTGTCCAGTCTAATAATTTCTGACATTTATTTGAGGTATTTTAAAATTTTTGTAACTTCTCAACTTTTCTGGTAGAAAACATGCTCTGATCATAAACTCCGATATATGTGTTTTAGAACAATTTGGATCTAGTTGGTATTTTTAGAAGGTCCAAATTGAAAATGCTTACCTAATGCTTTTTAAAATAAATAGATAAAAAAAATGAAAATTTGTTAAAATTTATGGTAACCAGCTTGGTTACACCACCCTCACTTGGATTGTAGTTGATTATTTAAATATTTTTTTTTTCTATAAATGTCAATAAAAAATTATTTATCCAGTCAAAAAGCTTAAAAATGTAATAAGTAAGTTTTGATTATAGCTAAAATATTAACGATACGTAGGTATACACATCATGGTTATTTTTTATAAGCATTTAAAGTTAAAATTTCGTCAAAACCACGGTTAATTAATTTGTACCTAGGTAGTTCAAAACTTATAAAATATTAAATGTGTATAACTAAGGTTAGACAATTTAATACCAAGGTCTTTCATACAAGAAGTTCATACTTTTACCGAAATATTATAGATCATTTTAGGAAAATTGGTATGCAAATACAATGTTTTTTCAAAAATGAATTCATTCTGGTAAGAGTGTAAGCCGTATATTATGAAATTTACGTGTTGCTTACTATAGTTGACAGTTGAAACTTGATAAATATTTTTTTTTTTTTAAGTAATAATAATACTGGCAATGGGGGGGGGGGGGCTTAAGCCGTTAGCCTCCCCCCTGCGTATGCTACGGATTCATACCTTTACATAAAATGTAAACATTGTAAAACAGCACTCTTCCTTCGTCAGAACTCTGATTGACAAAGAAAAATTTAATATACAATTCAAAAGTGAAATAATCAGTATCGTCGTGTCGTATTGATTTTAAATTGCATTGTACAACAAATAAAAATAAAACGAAATAATCCACTGATTGATTACTAGCGCAGTAGCGTATAATATTGGGCGTCAACGCTGAGATGCGACAAGACACTTTTAGCATCGATCGTCGAATAGGTAATTGTTATTATTTTTCTAGAACTATTATTAATATTTAATACCATAAGTCCATAACGCTATTTATAAATATTATTATGCAATATGCATTTGTACAAAATACAATACATAACATAACATGTTCTCTCCAAAACATAACTTAAACTCTATGAATTATTATTTTTTCAATTTAACTACATTTTAGCTCTTTACCACCTAGTTTTCATGATGTAAGAGCTGGGCCCTAAAATTAGGGCCCAGGACAAATGTCCCAGTTGTCCTGCCCTAGGGCCGGCCCTGTATTATATATGTAGGTATGTATTTTTATTTTTATATTACATATTTTGTATGCAACTTTTATTTTTATTACTTTTCTATATATTCATTTCAATATATCATAATAAGTAATATTAAACTTTTTGGCATGTTCGAAAAACGAATCTTCTGAAAATAGAAGTGTATGATTTTGGACCAAGTCAATCCGATGGCCGTCCATTTATGAATACCTACTGAATAGACAACTACTACAACGACATCTGATATCTTAACGGTTAAGTTATTATAGTAAAGTTATAGTTATTTAGTACCTAACCTTTTTCTCAAAAATTACTGATTCTTTATTTTGTGAACTTAATAGTTGTTTGAAGTAGTCTGGTAGTCAACATTTTTATTAGCTAAATGATCATGTTTTTTTAATAAATGACGCTTCAATTTACTTGGAACCACAGCTGCGTTGGATAATTTCACTCCACATACAATGCATTCTGGTTGAGGACAATTTTCATTTCCATACCAAATAAATCCCATAGCTAAGTAACTAATATTAAATAAACGTATTTTATTTAAACCAGTAAAACTAGAACTAGCTTAATTTGATTCACCAGATGTTGATCAATATTATGGATAGTTGAAATTTCGTCTTCATTTAATTTTCGTTTTTTAACAATAAATTTATCCATTATTTTAACTAAAATTTAATTATATAAAATTATAAAATATATAGACATGACTGAAATATATAATATATTTCGCAATGATGACTAAAACCAGACTGTACTGAAATTGTTAGTATACCTATATTATTAAATTACTATTGTCGATACATGTTTTACAAAAATTAAGATAAGATAAAAGCACAAGACATCGAAGTGATAGCAATGAAGCTGGTGTATGATCATTAAAATAGATCGAACATCGTAATATTTCTACAAAATATATGAAACACGATAGGTTTTATATTATTATAGTCCGTTTTATTTCTCACAGTGCTATACTTTTGATGAAATTGTTTTTTCTAAAAAAATATTTCAAATAATTTC